TTGTCAGTTTTAGGGCTTGTTTTTTAAACGTTTTGCCACATTGGGCTTAATGTGAAAACGTTTATAATTAACATCTTGGTGCTAGACATAACATGCAACTAGATGTTTCATGTAACTTAAAAGTAATCAATATATTGTTTTGTGTTTTGTTGTAAAATTGTGAAAATTGGCATGTTTTTGGTGTAGCGTTACTTCTATTTAAAAAGTAAAGATATTCAGATACTTGAGGTTTTATCTACATACAGATACATGTCTGAAGACTTTAGCATATTGGTTTGCGTGTATATGAAATCTATTATTATTGGCAGAAAGCTCGTAAAATATTCAGCATACCATCTGAGGGGATTGGTTTGGGCAGGCCTCGGAGTGATGACATGTTTGATTTTGTCAGTTTGTCTATTAACTGTTTTTAAATCTGAGGCACATTGGACGGGGAAGTCACAATAGGGATATCCCGTACAAGTCTAGACCTAACTTTAGATAAGAGTGTAATTGTTTGTGAAATAAATAGATAAATAAATGACTTGAGTTAAGCTTCAACGGCAGTTAACAGCACATGTTCTCTTTTATACTTCTCATAGCAAAACATCATCACTATCTAGTAACAATAGCATTATCTATTACTGTTTTTAAATAAGAAAGGAAATAATATTTAAGTTGAACATTTAGTGAATAGAAAACATGCTATTGAATAACATAAACCATGTAACTAACGGGTTACATTTCATTCCTCATGTTTACTCTTCAGCTAATTGTTGGGAGCTTTGAGATATTTAGAGAACAACATTTAAGACATTTAACTAGTGTATGTGTTCTCTTTTGATGCTTATGTCACAGCTATTACAAAGGTAAGCTGCCGAAGAAATTTGACACTTTATTTTGCACCCTTTCCCTTTGTACATTGGCAGCTAATAAATTTCAGTCAGCATCATGCATAATTAGGTCAAGCTCTAGTTATAGATCTGTTTGGTCATTTAATTTGACCACCATTATCTTCCCAGCAGACATGCACAGGAGGGAAATCAAGACATAGACTGGTATATATTCAACAAGACTGAGGGACTTAATGACCTTTTGTATACTTGTTAAGTGATGCTGCAGTTAATAAATCAGGATTGTGTGAAAGTGGTGTCAGAGACTGAAAAATAAATCATGGTGATAAAAGGGCAATTTTCAATCACAAATTTTCCTATGTTTAGCAATTGGATTTTCGAAATGTAAAAAAGCACATGTATTTAGATGTTTAAGAACTATAAAAATGTGAATGACAGCAGTGTTTAACTATGTCAGTACTTTTTTTTTTAAACAAAAGAATTAACTTTGTAACATACACTACTAAAAAAAAGTTAGGGATATCTGGCCCCTTTTTGGAGAACAGCAAGTTGTGCAAAAAGTACTGAAACACTGAGCAGTTGACAAGTGTATTCAAAAGTTTAGAGACGCTCACATTAAGCGCATTTTAGGTTCATCTGGAAATTTTTCCTGAAAGCCGAGCTGAACGCCTAGGTTTGCAGGGATCACCTAGTTATGCACACACATGATGGGATGAGAAGGCCTGTTTTTGCATGTGGGAGGTCAGCCCAACAAGGTTTAGGTTGTATTTTTTTTGTAGGAATACCTCACTTTCTTATTTATTGCCATAGAGGTGCTTGGTGACTGAGTAAGAAATCCTGTGAGGCAAGGTGAGCGTATTTCTCTTTCAGGATTTACAGTATGTGGAGAGTAAAAAAATGTTTGGGAAGTTCTTTTTTCAGCCTTTATAGCTCACTTGTGTTTTGGGCAGCAATTTGTATTTCACTTCAACTTTGATTTATTTGTTATTAATTATAAAGCAACTGTGCCTCTTTTAAAACAGATAAGACACTCTGCCTGTTTCAGCCCCTAAACAAGGCAAATAGTGCATTTCTATTTAGAACTTGGATTAATCTGTTAAACAGTTTCCCATCCTTTACGGTGTGTTTTGTTGTGTTTCAGGGCTTAACAGTATTTAGTCATCTAACAAAACGGATTGCCAAGTGATACCATAATCCCTCCAGCAACCTTGCCATGAACAGAACAATCATGATGCACAAGCTTACTTTTAGCTATTAGCTCAGCACAAATGCACTCTGAGCTTTCTTGCTGGGAGCTGACATTAACAAGCCTATCATAGACTCCATCTAGATTTTCATTTTATTGGCAAGCGACACAGCTGTTTCTTTTCTATTAATATGGGTTAACTATGATTCCCGAGACTTATGTTGAGCCTGTGTGTTGACAGCACGCAGAATATATACAGTAAATAGTTTGATGACTGACAGTGAAAACCTGAACAGATGCTCGTATACGGGTAATAAATATGTTATTTGAATAAAAAGCCAATATCAGGCTTGTCAAGCATTTTTACGTCCAGAACATAGACAGGAAAATATTTTTAAGATGTTGTAATAGATTTATTTGGGTAGTTGCAACATGTTTCTTGATACTATGAGGAAGAGGTGCTTGGTGTACCTTTTTATTGTCATGCTTGCTTGTCATAGACATCGAACCCAAATCCTTCTCATTTCTCTTTGAATTCTTCTAAGGGATGTAGGACTTACATTTTCTTGGGAGTAAAGTGATTGTTGTCATATGATCATTCAGTCAGGATGTTGGGGGGCATTTGGACTAATACTCTAAGGTTATAAGGTAAAGACATGCCCTACTTTAATTAACAGGAGGAAAAAATAAGGGCAGAAGGCCAAGAGGTGGAATTAGATTAATTATATTCTTGCCACATCGAATCCAAATTTTCAGTTCTTTCACTTTTCCACTAGTACCTTCTCAGCACGGCATGGCTCAACACAGTATTTTTGTATTTCCAATTGGGGCTAGCCCCATTTAGCAGTTACAACTTCAGCACCTACTCGGTTGGGGTTCCAATACAGCATAGTAGGGCCGACGGCAGACTGCCAGGCACTGAGTAGTCAGTAAGTCACGTGAATATATGGCAACTCTGATGCCTGAACCCTGTTTGTCTTAGAAACGTGACGAGAAGAAACTTATATTTATTTCTGTGAATGTAAAGCTTGTTCATTGCAGTTTATTATATATAGTTATATAGTATAGTATATAATTGCCACAATGTCTTTAATATTTGGCTTGTAAGTGTGCCGCATATTGGTAATGGCCACCTATACAGTGTAGAGCCACGGCTTGCCGAACCGTGTAGGGCTGAGGAGGAACTAATGGAAAAGTGCCATTAGTGTTTTAACACAAGCTCATTACTGACTTAGTGATGAAAAGATGAATACCATGCTAGATGGCGTTTTTGCTGGTTCTGGGGATATGTGTCATTCATCACATCTCTGTATTTTTCTACTATATATAGGAGTGGCACAGAAGCTATTGTGTAAACCAATCATATGTTTTTAAAGCTGCCAGATGTGTTAATGTCTCATAATGTCTCTTACATTATGAAAAAACGTCTTGGGTATGTATGATTGGCTCCAATTGTACATTTGATGGAAAGATTTTAGGTGCGTTCTGTCTTTTTTCTGAATTTGTTATATGCTATGACTAATTTAATTTATAAATACAGCCATGTATTCTTGGTTCTTAAACGTTTTTGAAAATTTTAACACCTCTAAAACCAACATTAAAAAAAAAAGAAGAATGCTTGCATTTTTTTCTCAACTCCTCCCCCCATACACACACACACACACACACACACACACACACACACACACACACACACACACACACACACACACACACACACACACACACACACACACAGGTGACATCATCACTTTGGCCTGTATAAACAGTCTGGGGATGATATTGCTCCACGCCAGTGAACTTGATTCCTTCACGGGCTTAACATGCTGCTATTCTCAAGAGGGCTTTTTTTTTTTTAAACTCATGCAGGCAGATTTAAAGAGAAAAGACAACATGAATTTAGCAGGACTTGTGAGTTATTTTTTGTGGCAAAAGATATTGCTCAACAATACTTTGTTGCCAATTATTTGTGGGGTCCTACAGTATCTACAATCAACAATTGCATGAACTGACAGCAGTGTAAAATGGGATTTTAACTGTTTCCTAATGTTAAACAAGTACCAAAATGATTCCACATGCAACGAATGTTGTAGAGCCAATTTAAGTACTATGGCCAAGTTGCTGGAGAAAATGTATTAAAGCAAGAACAGGCATAAAATTGGGCATAAAAAATCTATTACTGATAATATAGCCAAAGGATGTGCTGCTGAAGATAGCAAATCTAAACCATTCTATCTTCGGTATTTCGATCTCATAGCTAAGCAAATCATTTCTAGGTCAGTGCCTGTCAAAGGGCTGGAGTTGCATACCATTTTTATCTTGGCTCATCACAAATTGGTTGAAAGCACTCCTTTTTTTCTTCTGCAAAGAGAAAGTGACATTGCTGAGCACAGCCAACGAGTCAATTACTCTCCCTTTTCCTATATACATGTGAATGTCACTTTAAACATTTTCCTTTTGAACAGTTAGTTTTGATATTTTGATTTAAAAAATAATATTTTTTGTAATATAATTGATGTATAAATTACAATTTTTAAAACTATGTTAAAAAAAATGTATACATAGATGTGTGTGTGTGTACATCATAAAATCATATAAATGTTATAAAGCTTGATTATCAATAGTCACATAAATGAATACACATAAATGAATACACCTTCAAGTCAAGTGTGTCATTTCCTAAATTCATTCCTCTGAGGTTGAATTAGACGAAATGTACATATATTTTTAAAAATGAATTCTTTCTCTAATTGTGAATTTCATATCTTGCAGGGAGGTGATAAAATGAGAAGCTGGCTGCTCTGACCCAGCTTGAAAAACACCCCGGATAGAAACTCGAAGAGATACAGAGAGAAGCATTCAGAAAAACGAAAGGAAATTCAAAATGGCAGTGCCTCTGACCCACTGACAAGCAGAACTGGAATGATATCTTGACCTTTTTTCCTGAAAGTAACCAAGTTAGCGATGAGTGGGACGATATAATGGCCAAGAACAAAGATGCACGCCCCCCAACATTTGCTGTCAGTGTGGTTGGTCTTTCGGGGACAGAGAAAGAGAAGGGCAACTGCGGTGTTGGAAAGTCCTGCCTATGCAATCGGTATGTACGTCCCGATGCGGACAATTACTACTCTGAGCATACTTCGGTGCTCAGCACAATAGACTTTGGTGGACGTGTAGTCAACAATGACCATTTCCTGTACTGGGGGGATGTCTCCCATCGAGGGGACGAAGGTTTGGACTGTAAAATCCAAATCATTGAACAGACTGAGTTCATTGATGACCAGACATTTCTTCCGCATCGGAGTACAAACCTGCAGCCGTACACGAAACGAGCTGCAGCGAGTAAGCTTCAGTCAGCAGAGAAGCTTATGTACATCTGCACTGACCAACTGGGTTTGGAGCAGGACTTCGACCAGAAGCAGATGCCAGATGGGAAACTGAGCATTGATGCCTTTGTGCTTTGTGTTGATGTTAGCAAGGGCTGCAATAGGAAATTTGACGACCAAATGAAATTCGTAAACAGCCTTTACTCTCAAATTGTCAAGTCAAAGAAGCCTATTGTTGTAGCTGCCACAAAAAGTGATGAGTGTGTGGACCAGCATCTGAGGGACCTGCAGGCCTTTGTCGCCAGCAAGAAGAACTTGATGCTAATTGAGACGTCTGCACGCTCAAACGTCAACATAGAGCTCTGCTTCAATGCCCTTATCCAACAGCTGGATAAAACGAGAGGAAAACCAAAAACTGTGCCATACCTGGAGGCCTATAAAATCCAACGACACCTTGTAGCCTCGGTAACTGACAAATATGAGAAACTGATGATGCACACAGTGAGAGATTATCACACGACATGGAAAACTGTGATAAATAATCTAAAGGGACAACCGGACTATGACGAGTTCATCACTTTGGAGGGCTCGAGGAAAGCTCGCAACATGTTCACTAAGCACATTGCACAACTGAAGCAGGAGCACATTAAGAGGAGGAGGGAGGAGTACCTGACCACATTGCCAAAAACCCTTAACAATCTTTTCAATAATCTGGATGAGGTTGAACATCTCTCTTGGTTTGAGGCACAGAGCGTAATCCGCAACCGACCAGATTTCCAGTACTGGTTTTTGATACTGGAGCAAACGCCGTGGGATGAGACGGACCACATTGACAACAGTGATCGCAGGATACCCTTCGACCTCCTTGACACACCTGAAGCAGAGAGAATTTACCATAGCCATGTCCAGCACCTGCTGTCTGAGAAAAGAAGGGTGGAGATGAAAGAGAGGTTCAAGAAGACACTGGAAAGGGTTCATTTCATTAGTCCAGGGCAGCCCTGGGAGGAAGTCATGTGTTTTGTCATGGAAGACGAAGCCTACAAGTACATCACTGAATCAGATAGGAGGGATGTTTATTGTAGACACCAGCAGGAAATAGTTGAAAGGGCCAAAGAAGATTTTCAGGAAATGCTTTTTGAGCATGCAGAGCTATTTTACGACTTGGACTTGAACGCAACCCCCAGCTGTGACAAGATGAGTGAAATCCATAATGTGCTGAACGAGGAGCCCAGATACAGAGCACTGCAGAAACTTGCCCCAGATAGAGAGTCCCTTCTACTTAAACACATTGGATTTGTTTACCACCCCACTAAGGAGACATGTCTGAGTGGGCAGAACTGCATAGATATGAAAGTGGAGCAAGTTTTAGCAAACCGCTTGGTGCAGCTTGATCACGGACGCTCTAATCTCTACTATAACAGTGCCAACATTGATAAGATCAACCTCTGCCTTCTGGGAAAGGAAGGTCTGTCTCAAGAACTAGGCAATGAGATCCGAGCTCAGTCTACAGATGATGAGTACACCCTAGACGGTAAAATTTATGAACTGGACCTTCTCCCTGTGGACGTTAACTCCACGTTACTTTTTAGCCACACATGGTTAGCTTCGTTCAAGCCACATGGTTGCTTCTGTGTGTTCAACTCCATTGAGTCACTTAACTGCATTGGCGATTGCATAAGCAGGATCAGAGCAGAGATAGGACAGAGTCGGCGAGACAGATTTGGTCAGCAACTTCCTTTCATTCTCATTCTTGCAAATCAAAGAGACAGTGTTTGCAAAAACATACCTATCCTGAGACATCAGGGTCAACAGCTGGCAAACAAGTTGCAGTGCACCTTTGTCGATATCCCTTCTGGGGCTTTTCCTCGTAAATTCACAGAGTTTCAAATTAAACAGGGGCTCCGAGCAGTACTCGATGGGTTAAAGCATCACTTTGATGTTTTTGCCCCTCTTCCCTGTATCAAAGACATGACAGAGATGGACCTCAGAATAGTCATGTGCGCCATGTGCTGGGACCCTTTTAGCGTTGACCTCATCCTCTCACCTTTCCTTGACTCTCACTGCTGTAGTGCAGGACAGCCGGGTCAGAGCAACACACTCATACTGGACAAAATTATTGGGGACAGTCGGCGGAGGATCCAGGTCACCGTTCTTTCTTACCACTCAGCGATCGGTGTGCGTAAGGATGAGTTGGTGCATGGCTACATTTTGGTTTACTCTGCTAAACGCAAGGCCTCAATGGCAACCCTGCGGGCGTTCCTGGCTGAAGTCCAAGATGTTATCCCTGTTCAGATGGTTGCCATTACAGACAGCCAGGCAGACTTCTTTGAGAATGATGCCATCAAGGAATTGATGACAGAAGGGGAACACATCGCCACAGAGATTGCCGCCAAATTTACTGCTCTCTATTCACTTTCCCAGTATCATCGACAGACAGAGGTTTTTACACCATTCTTCAATGAGGTTTTAGAGAAGAAGCCAGGCATAGAAGGTTCTTTCCTGTTTGACTCATCACGTGAGTGCACCACTGGAGCCAGTGATGACACCTTCCCAACATCTCCCCATAGCCATTCCCCTGCCTACAACACCTATTACCCCGAATCAGATGACGATAACGAGGCTCCCCCACCTTACAGTCCGATTGGTGATGAGGTTCAGCTTCTGCCTACACCCAGTGAGCGAGCCAAGTACCGGATTGACTTGGAGGGGAATGAGTACCCTGTCCATAGCACGCCTGTTGGAGACCATGAACGCAACCACAAAGTGCCTCCACCTGTTCGTCCCAAACCAATCCATCCCAAGCCCAATGTCAAAAAGCTGGACCCAAACCTTCTTAAAACGATTGAGGCTGGAATGCGAAGCAATCGCAGACTGCCACGTGGGCCAGTTACACACCCAGAAGACGTGGAGCCATCAGACAACTATGCAGACCCTGTGGACACTTTGCTGAGGTCCAGAGGTTACCACAACGACGACATATATGCGGTGCCCGATGATGCACACAGTAGGCTCGTCAAAATCAAAAACTCCCTCGGTGGGCTGCATAGTCTCCACGGAGGACTTGAAGAGGAGAATGGATTTGATCGGAAGTCTCAGACTGGAAGACGGCCATCGAAATACAAGCATCGTTCGAAAATCTTATTCAGTAAAACAAAGGCCTACCAAAGACGATTACACTCTGACAGTGATGGTGAAGAGTCCTGCCCGGCCACACAGAAAAAGAAAAAAGGAAGAGCCCATCGGGGTAGCGAAGAAGATCCACTCCTCTCCCCAGCTGAACCCTGGAAAGGCGGTATTGATAATCCTGCCATCACATCTGACCCCGAGCAAGAGGACAGGAAGATGAAAAAGAAAAAGACACCCAAGACGCCAAAGGAACCTAAAAAGGTGAGTCTTCACTGTTGACAGAATGTTAATGCTGGGTTCTTTCATTGTGTGCTTTTAAAACTCTGCTAGTGTTTGAAGAAGCAATATAGAAAAGGTAAAAATAAAATGTTTTCAAAGAAGAGAGTGCGTGTGAGTAGATGTGCATAAGTCTTTGATATCACATTTTATAGGTCTGAGACAATGAGAACAAACTAAGTTGATTAAATGGCCACCTTGCTGAAATTGTCTGAGCATTGGCAATCTACATGCCTCAGATAAGCAATAAAATGGCTGTAACTTTATTTCAGTCTTACGAAATAAAGATTAGAATCGTAAATGGAGTTGAAATTTGCTTTTGTTTAGGTACAGTGGTTGATCTTTGAAAATACGCTAAAAACTATTTAAGTACAGTTTATCTCAATCAATCCGTCAATCATAATTGAAATTTTGTGTTTTTTTTTAAACACTTTAACAAACGCAGACATGTGGGAGATTTGGCAAGTACACTGGCATAGATCAGATAGTGTGAAAATCAGTGGAAAAACATCCGCTGGCACCACATGGGTGTCATGAATGCTGGGTATTGTTGAAGCGCTGAAACAGTCTTTGATAATCAGAGGAGAGAGTCAGAGCAGAAATAGAGACTACAAAACACAAGGTGTTTAATCGCTGTCTTGGCCAATTATAGAGGAGCCCAAAACTGCTTTAGGCATGAATAGTCTTTGAAGAGCAGAACAGTGTGGGAAATCAAAGCTAACTCAGCACATCTATCCTCTTCCTAGCTTTGGTCTTGAACAATGCCATTCTCTTGCTTCTTGTTTTCCTCCATATGAGCCTTCCTCTGCTTTCACTCCCTCTTTTCCTTTGTCCCACAGAAGCTTTTCTGATCTATTCCCTGATTGCTTTCCTCCTCTTCCTTCCTTGTCTCAGCTGATATTTTTCTCCTCTTCATCCTCTTTCTTTCTCCTATATCTGCTTTCCCTCATCTGTTTCTATTCCCTCATCTTATTCCATTTGTCTTTCCATCTATGTACGCTCTTCACCTCTACATCTCATTCTCACATTTGTTTTTATCTGCTCCTGCCTTCATCATGTACCAAATTCTCTTCTTCATTTTTACATTCTGCCCATCTTCTCTTTTTCTCCACATTCCTTTTGTACGTATTATTTTCTGAATGTCATGTATTTCTTCTATCCTGTTTCTATTTCCTGTCAACCTTATTCAATATTAGATGTCATTCTGGCTCCGATAAACTCTTTCTCATGAAATCCCTTTGTGTCATTACAGCCGAAATCATCTAAGCCTCCAAAACCTCTATACCCGCCCACTCGCAGAACCTGGGAGAGCAACTACTTTGGTGTTGCCCTGCAAAGCTTAGTGACTCCGGACCGTCCCATCCCACTCTTCATTGAGAAATGTGTTGACTACATAGAACTCACAGGTAATGAACTTTCATGAGTTTTATCCAATGTTGTGCTTCACTCTTTTGTTTATGTTTATTTTTATGCATTTAGCAGACGCTTTTCTCCAAAGCGAATTTTACAGTTATCATTAATATGACAATAAGTTGTCTAGAGGAAAATCCCTAGTCGGGATCTGTGATGACAGCAAAACGAGAGAGAGGGAAGTGAAGAAAGAGTAGTAGAGGGGTACAGACGTATGGGTAAGAGTTAGGATGAGAGATGCTTTTGTTCCTACTTCTTTTTGTAGTTTCAGGTCTAATTATTCACTTGTTCTGAGGATCACTCTAATAGGGGCCTTTAAGATAAATACCTGTTAGGTACTGTTATAGTACATGTTTACATGGTTGCAAATGGGTTTTAAAATTCATTGAGAGCACATGGATCGAATATCAGTTGGGATCTTTCCTCCCAAACAAGTTTTGAATGTTAGTCTGTGACGATGCCTGTCCGTACAAGCCAGTTTCACTTCAGTGTGTTTATGCGCTCTTCATTTGTTGTTGTGCTGTGTAAGAGTTGCTTGGCTGATCACAGGTTTTTCGAATACTGCTGTCATCAATTGCATCAACTATGTCACAAGGTGTTTTGTCTACCATGTTGTGTGCGAATGACATAAGTGAGATTCCCATCACAGCAGATATGAAGGCCTTAATGGATATATTTAGCTCCACAAGGTTTTGGCTTATAAAAAAGCCTCCGCACAGCGAGCTGAAGTGTTACTTTTTGCCTCTGACCACTTGAATTAATATTTTAATCTTTTTCAATTTTTTATCAGTTTGTTACATTATGAACTTACACATGGTCCAGTACTCCTTTCCTCATTTAATGATTTAAATCTTTTGCAGAGTGACCTGAAAGAAACTTTTTCAACATATAAGTTTGAGGAGATCTATTATCTCTTGTTAAGTTTGTGATTTGCTTTCGAGTTATTGCATTATCTCAAATCAGTTCTAGTATTTGAAAAAGTTTAGCAATGGCTTTGTCTGTCTGTTTTGCTTGCTGTTGAATGCAGACTTAAGATGTCGGTGTAAAAAAAAAAAAGGCAAGATCGTATTTCTCCTCGCTCTCTCCATTGTGCTTGTGCACAGCAAATGTATGTGCATTTTTTTGTTCTGTTGTGCTTTCATCTAGTGTTTCACAATGAGGAAATGTACGGTTTTGTCTTGAAGAATCCCCTTTAAGTAGGTTTTCATATTTAGCTGGTTCCATATGAGTACACAGTGGCTGTCAACCAAATTTAGAATTAATCTTGGTGCTGCTACTTTTTTGGGAGTGTGTGACATTTATCAGCTAACACTGCCTTGTGTATTGCTGTGAAAGTCGCTCAAGTCCAGACGTTCTGCTCGGTTGATTTAACAGCTTTTCCCATTGTGTTTTTTTTCTTTGTGGAATATAATTTCTCACCATACTCATAGAAAAACATCTTTGTACTTTTATGCATTTTTTTCCATGCTTGCTGTTATGTAAGGTCTTTAAGATCTTGACAGTTGGAGAGCTTGGTAACTCTTTGAACAAGAAACGATCCTTTTAGACGTACAGATTTGCCAAAACATGGGTTGCTTAAAATGGCTTAAAATCACTTTATGCATTGGCATGTTAGATGGATGTTTTTGTGTTAAAATGTCTTCACATATCTGTCTGAATGAATCCACCATGCTAATGCACATGTTGGGCTGGGCCTGACCTCTGAATGCAGAGTGGAGTAGGAGGAGGAAAGGGACTCTCCCAGTGGGAATCATTAAAGCACTGCTGTTGTATTGTTGATTTTCTGCAAGACACCATCCACTGGGTAAAATTAATGAGAGTGAAAGTGGAAAAAATATTGTCCTCCCCCAATACAATGGCTGTTTCTTGCCTTTAGGCATTTTGTAGACTAATAGCTTAATGTTGAAGTACTTATGATTTCAAACTCCACTCCATTAAAAAATTATTAGTTTTGTAATTCACCAAATTTCATCGGTTTGGGTGTTTTTTTTTTTCTTTGTCATTGAGGTTGTTTTGTAGTGGTAGACACCGCCACCACTTTATAGCAGTTTGGTTTCATTGTGTGGCTACTGTATTCTTTGGTTTTTGTTTTGTTTTTGTTTGTCTGTAGCTATTCTCAAGACATCGAGAATACTCAATACTTACTCACTTACATAGCCAGTTCAGTTTCACTTTACATAGTAAGTTGCCAAACAAGAAGAGCCATGAAAGAATGGGGACCATAGCTATTTAATGTCAGCGGTTTCAAGCCAGAACATGTGAGCAAAGAGTGTGATGTTTTATCATAAGACTAAAATGTGCATGTGAGTGTCAGAGCATGGTTTTAAATGTGATTGAAAGTGTGAACGTGCAAAACTGTGATTCTCTGTGCTGCCTGCTGCTAGGTGTAGATGATTAAGCCAGTTTGTTTGCATACACATTCTTTGGCCAGTAAGGTTCTATGTACAGTTTTACAACTTTTTTCTTTTCCCAGTTTTCGAGGAATTAGAACTAAATTCACTTCCTTGTTCCGTATGCACTGCACTGATCATATTATCCCACAATCTCCTCAAAAGCTTCATACCCATAACGTTTCCATCCATTGTTCAAGGCCTCTGAAAAAGAATGACAACCTATTTTGTTGTTGTTTTGACTTATTCTTAAGAATAAAAGTCACTAATCTTTATGATTAAATGTAATTGAAGTATATGGAAAAAACAAGACAGAGTTAAAGTTGGTACCTTAATACTGATACTTGTTAAAGTGATTAGAATACTAAACTTTTGTAATGCTTTATAACGCTGTTTCAGAAAGTTAGATTTCTTAAGAATCTCTTACTGCTTTTCAAATTTACAAGCATAATGTAACAAATGTGTGGGTCAGATCATACGGATCATAGTGGAATGAACTGCTGACTCAGAGCGAAATCAACATGAACCTATGCCAGTCATTCAACTACGAGAGAATGCTACGCAAATTCTCAACTAAAAGCTTCCCACAAGCAAATTAGTCTCCCGAGATTTTCTGTTTGTCACTGTTGTTTTTTAAATGGGTCACAAATGATTGATGTAAACATTTCTTATTATTTTCTTCTTGAAATACTTGTTTACTTGAGTTAAAAAGTCTTCTTTTTTTGTCAGACCTAAATTTAAGTTAAAAGATCTAAATGCCCTTTTATTATCAGGAAACATTTCATCGAGGGTAACACTTATAATAGTAATAATCCGCCTCAACCTATTTCTCTTTGTTTATCATAAAGGTAACAAATGAATGTGTTGTTAAAAACCCTTGCTTATTTTTTACCAAGATAAGTTCAGCTTTCAAAACCCATCAAGATATTGTCATTTTTATGTTATATATGCTTTAGATTTTGTGAAATAACAGAAAAAAGTAAAGAAACAGATTTTAGTTTTCAGCAGGTTTTCTCTTTCTAAACACTAAATGGCATGATCCAAAGATTTTGAGATGACAAAACCTTTATTTTAACTACACTACACCAACACAAGCTTGTTTTCCTGAGTCTTGTAATTCAGCTGCTACTTGCTTGTCAATATCTAGCAATGACCAGGCGTTTCTGTCTTATCAGATATTCCCTAAAGCAGCTTCTGCCCAGTTGAAGGCAGAATGAAACTCCACATTCCCCACACATCGCACAGGTGCTCCTTCTGCATAGACTTCACTGCTACCTTTCCTGCTTTGCTCCATGTTTTTTTCTGTCAGGTCCTCTGCTGGCGGGGACAAAAAGGGAGGGACTGAGGTGTACCAGCTAATAGCAAGCTGCTCCCGAAAGTTCCTGAGTTTCAAAAGCTTTTGCTGCAGTGTCAGTCTGGTCTCTCTCCGGGGGATGTCACTGCTAGTAACATGAATGCCTAAAGACAGTCAATGCAAGTAGGTCTAAAGCACGCTGTCAAAGATGTATCCTACAGGGGCATCGTTAATCGATCCTTTGGTGTGCAGTGTTCTTGGTAATTTTTAGTGGAAAAGCTAGAAGTCAAAGTGGGACAAAGATCTGCTCTTAAATGGAGTCAAATGATTTGTTAGTACATTAAAAATGTCCTTTGGAACTGTTGTTCTTCTTTGCTACTTCTTGTTGCACTCTATAAGCCAAATATTTACTATATATGTGCCCGAGTGTGTATTAGAAAAAACGAATGGGTCTGTAGTGGGTCTTTCATGGGTAAAACGATGGCAGCTAAAGCTTTTTTCTGTTAAAATACTAAAGAAATACTCGTCCTTCAGTGTTTCCTTTTTTTATGTATGTGTGTTTTTAGTTGATTTTGCGGAGTAGAAATAGGCCCTGACCTTAAATTTCTCCTAAGCAATTCCGTTATTGGATCAATCTTTTAGATGGCAATGGTTTACCCAACATTGCTAGACTGAATCTTTCTCAAATCTTTATTTTTTATAAATGGAATCGTGTTCTTTTAATTGTACAGCCTTGCAGGGAGCTCAATTCAAGGTTAGAAGTTCAGTCCTTGCGAGTGACAAGGTGATGGGAGACCAGAGCCATTATGAGCTAACCAGTCAATACACATGAGAGTGAGGTGATATTGAGAATGAGCGTAAGCCAAGAGCCAGGGAAGAAGTTAACCTTTTTCTTTTATCTTATTGTTAAGCAAGACTGCAATAATTGAAAAAATATCCAGGCCAGGTCTCAACCTTCTTTCTATTTGAAATGTCACCGGATGACAGCTGTAGCAATACGGATTATTGCTTCAGAAGAGTAAATGCTATGGGTTTTCTGAGAGGTTCTTCTTAAAGCGGTTGCAAACATGGCTTTCAAGAATATGATATTAAATACTCTACGCATTTGAACATACTCAAGATGCTCTGAGTGGACATTAAGATATGATTGCATAGGGTCCTTTATGAGGTTATGTGTTTGACATTTGTGCTTTAGATCGTATTCTGATGGCAGTTGAAACACAACTCCATCCTGGGATACATACAAGAACTGCCTACTCCCACTCGAGACAAAATCTTTCACTTCTG